TGACAATTCAGCTTCATCTTTCAATGTATTTCTACTGTTTGGGTATCTCACAAGGGTGTGCATGTCTCCTTCTTGCCAGTGATCACTATATTATGTAAATACCTATGTATTTTAGCTGATACCCTAACCCTTCTATAAACTGAGCTCATATATTATCTACCTTAGGTAGATGAAATGTATAAATATTACATCACATCCTGCATTGTATCTTTTCAAAAAATGATTAAGCAACTCTTGCTAATATCCATCCAAGATATAAAGGTGACTTACATGTAGCTGGTGCTACAAACATAAAGTGCTTGATTCTGTGACCAAGGTGCTGGAACAGGTCCAAAGATAGATAATGAAGCTGGTGAAGGGTCTAGAGCACAAGTAGTATGAAGAGCGGCTGAGGGAGCTGGGGATGTTTAGCCTGGAGAAAAGGAAGCTCAGTGGACACCTTATCATGCTCTACAATTACCTTAAAGGAGGCTATAGTGAAATGGGGATTGGTCTCTTCTCCCACATACCAAGTGATAAGACAAGAAGACCTTAAATTGTGCAAGGAGAGGTTTAGGTTGGATATTAGGAAAAAAATCTTCACTGGGTTGAAATTCTTCAAGGGTTGAAATGTATTGAAACAGATTGTTCAGGCAAGTAGTTGAGTCACCATCCTTGTAAGTCTTCAAAAAACATGTAGATTTAGAGCTTAGTGACATGGTTTAATGGTGGACTTGTCAGTGCTAGGTTAAAGGTTGGACTAGAAAATCTTAGAGGTTGTTTCCAACCTAGATGATTCTATGATTCTATATTCAGTGCCAGATTCCTCAGATAATCTGGACAAAATAAAATGCATTACCTTAAAATACAGTTAGGTGAAATATGCCTCATCTAAGGCAATCAGAAGGATTTGTGTAGATTAGAGAAGAGACCCATATAAGAGAATACATGACCTTCATGTAGATTCCAATTCTGCGTGTTTATTGGTCAGGCACCAATATTAACCTGCGGATAACAATACAATTCTACCAACATATGCATGCATGCATAGACCTCAATATTCACCGGTTGCTTTTAAAATGATGGCATAGATATATTTGTGACATTACAGTTGCCTATTGGTCATCATTGACTAGAGCTCTGGTGGTAGAATTATACCCAAAACTTTAATTGTACACCCATAAAGAAAGAAGCACTAAAAATCAAGCTATAGGAAGCAAAAATCAGATGAATGCTGTTGAGTTGTATGAGTGAGACTGTGAACTCCTTGAAGAAAGGACTACAGATGGGTGCTGTACAGATCTCAGCATAACAGCTAACAGAATTACAGAATGGGCGGGCTTGGAAGGGACCTCTGAAGATCATCCAGTCCAACCCACCTGCTGAGTAGGATTCCTTACAGCATGTTGAGCAGGATGGCATCCAGGTGGGTTTTGAATATCTCCAGAGGAGACTGCACAACTTCTCTGGGCGACCTGTTCCAGTGCTCTGCCACCCTCACAGCAAACAAGTGCCCCCTCACATTCAGCCAGAACTTTCTATGCTTCAGATTGTGTCCATCACCTCACATCCTGGGTCACCATAAAATAGATAGCAAATAATAGAATTATCCAGAGAAGACTAATTTTCTGTCAGTTAGGCTTGATTTAATTCTAAGATGGAAAGAGAAACATCACCAAATTCTGTGAGTAAAAAAAGTCTCTGAGATCTCTTGCAGAGATCTGCATGGTCTCCAAACCATGGCATCCAGCACGAGCTTCAAGCTGAGCACTGGCAGGATCAGTGTGCTCCTTCTCTCAGCTCCTGCCAGCTCTGCGAAGTGCTACCAGTGTCCCAGCATCTCGGCTGATGGGACACCAGAAGGCTGTTTGCTCTGTGGTCAGTCTTTGACCCTATCAAGATCTTCCCTGTACCATTTGATTTTCAAGACTGCATGTTTTCTGAGGGAAAACAGTTCAATAGGAAAGTTCTGACCCCTTCGAATGAATAACTTAAATGAGAACCATCCCCATTCTAAAGTGTTAACTGTGTGGAATTGTTAATCCCTTATGGTCTTATCCTTATCTTAGGGTTTAACCTTAACCGAGGGTTTAACAGCTGAAACTGGTTAGTGTGGAATCATTGTGTCAGTAACCAGAGGACTCCATGCATCCTAAATGTATCTTTCCTTCTTTCATTTTTCTTCATTTCTATTTCAAGCACTTTTTAAATAAAGAAAAAACAGATAATTAGTCCAAAGTCAAAGTACATACCCTGTTAGGAAGTTTTGCTCTAGTTTCACAAAGTTGAAGGGGCTCAACTTCTGTGCAGTGGTAATGGAATGATTTGGTCTTGTGTGAAAAACAGAAAGTCCTTACCCTCAGTATCTATTCTGCCTCTAGTGATAAATAGTGACTAAACGAAAGAGAAAATAGGACAAAATATACTGATGATATCACCCTAATTTCAGATTCTCTAAATGTTCATATAACTATGTCTTAAAACCTTCTTAAGACCTGCTTCTTCTCAGTGGCTTGCAATGAAACCTCTGGTGAACAGCTAGTGTGGGCACACGTGAGAATCATTGCTATGAAGAACCTGAATGCAATAATCAAACCTGCATTCAGATGCAGAGGCTTGCAAATGTTTTCGTTGTAGCTGGTTTGTGCAGTGGTTTGGACAGGGTATGTCAACCCTCCTAATTGAACTAAAAGCTAAATAGTAATGCAGACCTTGTTATACACTACTATTAGCAGGACAATTCCTGCAGTGCAGATCAGCCAAGAGCCCAGTAGATGTCAATCAAAGTTCAAGCTTTCTACCCTTGGCTGTTAATTAACTGTCAGAATGCTTTAATCTCATTTATTACTAATATGTGAGGGATGTGCTGTGCCCTCTACTTGCACAGATGTTATTATGGGAACACAGTGAGTTGCCTCATTCCGTGTGAATGCATAATTGAAAATAGACAGAAGTTATTATTTTTTTTTTTTTTTGAGACAACATAGGGAAGGGAAAGGTATTTCATGGTTTCTTCAGTGCTAACTTAATAAGACATGGAAAAAGCAGAACTAGAGCATTGATTTCCCACACTAGTCCAGCAGCACTGCTCAAACATAAGCAGAGGAACATACTGCATCATTAAGGGTGAAACTATAAAGCACTGTGAGCCACTAAAACTCTCTTTAGAACCGCTTCTGCTTTGCTTTGAGAAGGTACAAGACTAAATTGCAGATTGACTGTGAGTAAGGATTTTTACAGATTGACTGTGAGCAGGAAACTTAACTTTCTGGGGATTTCAAAATGTACACTCTTATGTATCAGATTTTCACTGCCAGCCAAATAAACAAGGTTTCACGAAAGATTTCTGTGGAAAGACCACATCAATCTCTCCCCTCAAAATCACTTGAGCCTGCAATCAGTGCAATGTGAGCTTTCTTGCATAAAGATGAGACAGTGTTCAGCTAACAAGCACCTGCACCTGCCGATCCCACAAACAACTTGCCCATCAACAGGAGCAGCAGTTTGGGTGGGTGAGATCTGTACAACGCACAAAGGCAGTTTAAAAAAGCAAAAGACTTGGGCAGAAGCAGCCCAGTAAAAGGACAGGTGGGCGGATAGCTAAATGCCAGCCTCCATCCCAAGATATGGTACAGGCACATCAGGGAGGAGCAGCTGTGCATCAGCACTGATATCGTCTCTGTCTTAGAGTGCAAAGCCAGGAAACCTTTCCGTCTGGTGGCTTCAGGGGGGGAAAAAAACAAAAAGGAAAAAAAAAAAAAAGTGTAAGCAGGGTGAGAGCTGCTGTAACCGAAGGTTTGACCTTGAATCTTTAAAGGTGGGAAGACAGCCTGCTTACAAAACGGGTGGAGGTGAATAGGCAAATACAGAGAGTTCTCCTTAAGCTGTCTTCTCTGAGGATCAGAAGAAAGGACACTTTTCTTCGTGGTTTAAAGCACAGGCTCTTTGGGAAGGCTACTATCTTTACCCTGAGAAGCTGGCTGCCGAGCCATGGACCGAGCAAGCACACCCGGGCTTGTGAATAGCCCTCTCGTAGCCTCTTTGGCTGAAGGCTCACTGGTTTCGCCAACGTGCGTACTCGGTGTTTACCGGCAGCTTGCGTGCCATTCCAGACAAAAACAGCATCATCAGTCCGTCGAAGGGAAAAAAAAAAAAAAAAAAAAAAAAAAAAGCCTCGCAAAACGTTGCCTGTAGCTGCAGTCGTATTTGCAACGCGTCTAGGGAAGCCTTGAGCGCTCGCCGATGGCAGCGCTGGTGTGCATAAATCCTGCAGAAAATCATGAATGGAAGCCCCGTATGGCGGGGCTGGGCGCTAGTGAGCTGCTCCGTTCATGAAAATGTCAGTGCTGTAAATACGGGACGCAAATGGCCGGGGCTCCGGGGGAGAGGCTGCTCCACGGCGGCGTGCGCGGGGGAGAGACGGGGAAAGGCGGCGAGGGGGAGATAAATGGGGAGAGGGGGAGATGGGGCGAGCGAGAGATGGGGAGAGAGGGAGATGGAGAGATGGGGAGAGGGGAAGATGAGGAGACGGGGAGATGATGGGGCGAGAGGGAGAAGGGGAGACGGGGAGACGGGGAAAGGGGGCAAGAGGGAGATGGGGAGATGACGGAGAGATGGGGCGAGGGGGCGAAGAGAGGTGGGCGCCCTCACGGCCGGGGCGACGCCACCCCTGCCCCCCTCGCCTCGTCCCCCGTTATCTCTGCCAGCCCGATAAGACGCCCGTTTTGGGGTTCCCAGCGCAGCGGGGCGCAGGAGGGAGCAGCATCCCTCCGGGCGGGCGGAGAGGCGGGGCCGCTGCCCGTGGAGGGCAGGGCGGGCGGTTTCGGCACCTGTGCCCGGTGGATGGGGACGGGAGCCTGGCTCGGCTGTCCCCGAGCCCCCGGTGTCCGGCGGTCCCTTCCCTTCCCGTAGCCCGGCTACTGGGGATGCGGCGTGTCCAGCCGGGGGGAGAGGTGAAACCCACCCGCGGGTCAAAAAAAAAAAAAAGGGGCTGGGAAGCAACTTCGGGGCGCCACACTCACCCAGGACGTTCCCGACGAGCGCCACGATGAAGACGACGATGTAGCCGGCGATCAGCGCCCATTCGTACTCCTTGGGGTGCAAATACTCCTTCCAAAGGTAGCGCAGGAACTCCTCGTCGTCGTAGTCGGCGGACGGGCTTAAAAAAGGCTCCCGGGTCTCGTTCAGCTCCGGGGAGGATGTCCAGTTCCTGCGCGGATGAGAAGCATCCTCGGGCTGCGTCCCGGACATCCCTGGCGGTGGTCCGGGGGCTGGCTGAACCCTCTCAGCGCTCCAGCACTCTCTCACGCCCCTCCATTGAGACTTGCGATCGCCGGTGCCGAGCTGGGTGTGGGGAGAAAATGACGCGGAAACTTCGGGAGCCAATGCGGGACCGGGCTGGGGCTCCGAGCCGGCCCCAGCCGCCCGGCAGCCTTCCCCCGACCCTTTTTCCTCTCCGCGGGAGCGGAGGATGCACGCCCTGCCCTGCCCGGGGTGTGTGGGGAGACATCCGTCGGGGGAATCGATGGTTGAAGGATGGGGATTCGACGGATGGCTCGTGCGGAGGAGGCAGAGGATGAAAGGAGTAATTAAAACTGAGCGGTCGATGTGTCTTCTGGGGGCCCCTTTGAAAAGTTCGGCTGTGTGTTATTGGTGTGTGGCTCTACCTCCAACGCACGGGCTTAATACAGAGCCAAATATTCATAAACAGTGTGGTGCTTAGCTCTAGACAGCGCTGGCTAAAACAGAACAAACCTCAGCGGGAAAATCTGTAAGCACAGTGAACAGACAAGCGAGTGGTTTCATCACATTTTAGGACCATGAAGGCTCACTGTAGGCTTGAGTGTAGTTACTAATCTCCAGCTTGGGATCTCAGCTGCCCCTTGGCTACTCCGGATTGAGCTGAGCTGGCAGAAAGCAATTCAAGAAAGCTCAGAAGTGCTAGTTAAACAGCGTGATAGGATTCCCAGCTTCTAGTCATTGCTTCCTGAATTGTTTTCATACTCTGCCCAATGTTCAGTTCCTGAGAGAGAAGGGACAGGGCTGGACTTGTCCTTCCCTGACTGAAAAAAAGTCCCGTTTTTCAGGTAATCTCTTCATTTACTTGCTGAATAACTTAATGAGTTTAATGAGAATTATAAGCACCACTTCCACTGTGAAAGGGCACACCTCGCTCATTTAATCATTTATGTGCAGGGTCTACACCACCAGAGAGTGGAGAAACTATTATGTGACTCTACTTCCAACACATAACTTTAGCAGAGAGGCAGATACTCATGAACACTGTAGTGCTTAACTTCCTGAATTGTTCTTCATTAGCATGGAGCATTCCCTCATGCCTTCAAAGTCCGGTCCAGCATCCCCACCTAACCACCCAACCTGGTGTTGCCTTTAGGCACCTGTTTTTATAGACCTGCTCTCTTTGTTTTAGTTTTGTTTCTGTAAAATAAAAACAAATAAATAAAATAAAATAAAAATAAATAATATTAAAAAAAATATTCATATTCTACTGGAAAGTTGAACAGACCTTTCAGGATAAAGACATCAAAAAGTGAGATATACTTGGATATACAGGTAAGATCAGCACCTTACATAAATTAGAAAGGTAGACTTCACAAACCTCATAAATAAAGATTAGATACTTCTCAACTAAGGAAAACAGCTAAGATTCTGTTAGTAAAAGTATGAGTTTGGGGAAGTGATTTAAGCTCTCCTGAGGACCTTGGAATACTGATGTACTTAGTACACAAAAAGAGACGTGCTTAAGGAGTTTGTCATGGTCTTCACTAGTGTAGATGTAGAGCATGACCATTTGGTGGTCAGTATCAGACAACAACAATCATTCTCCAGTTTGTTTCATATGTTAAAATGTTGATCCATAAATTCCACATCTGCTTCCAAGTTGCCATAAAATCTGAAACAGGTAACACTTTTTTTTTGTCATAGAATACTCCTTTCTTCCTCCCTCCCCAGTAGTAAGGAATTGAATTAAAAAGACATACATGTAAGTATTAAGAAATGATGTGGTTTTATGAAAAATGGCTCTTAGGGCTCTTTTTTTGTTGTACTTATTTTTTTTCTTTTTTTCTTTCAACCAGATAATAAATTTTATTGATAAAGGCATAAATGATTAATCATGCAGATTGATAAAATGCATTAATTTTCTATTCCTAGAGTACTGTAATACATTTGCTTTTATTGGTACAGCACATTCTTATTAGGTAGACTGTATAGTAGAAAATCAATGTGGCACACATTATAAAGATTAGAAATTGTCTAACTAACAGATCTCAGAATAAAATGGTAAAAAAAAAAAAAAAAAAAAGACTTGTCACTGAGCTCATGTCTTTCTACTGTCAGATCTTGGTTCTGTTGCACTCAACATTCAATGACCTTGAAGAAGCTGGCAGGTGATCCAAAAATCAGAGATAATCAGCTACACACTAACTCCCATCATGAATCTGTAGCCAGAGAGCTTCATGTGATAATTGCCAGTACAAATAAGTATACCTGTGAAAACACATTAAGTATGAGAAACTTGGCTGAGCTAAAATATGCATCATGCATAAAAATCTGCTATTGAGGAAATACTTTTCAAATAGAGTCATTTTAGCTGTATATTTTAAAATCAAGATCAGATACTTTCTTAAAAGATAAGTGCTATCTAAAATGGGAATTAATTCAGAAAAGTCATCTGACCTGTAGCATGCAAGAGGTCAAACTAGATGATTACAGGAGCCCCTTCTGCTTTCTAATTTGTGAAAGCGTGTTAGTAAAATAGATTAATTTGATGAATTTTACTGCTGATTTATGTCTTCATTATACAATTTACATCAGGACTAGTGCAAGAGTCTAAATGTGTTCTTCCATATGCAAGTGAACAGTAAATGCTCAAATGTATGTAATTCTCACTTTATTAACCTTTCTCCCTCCCCCCCCCCCCTTTTTTTTTTTTTTCAATTTAAAACCTGTTTAACGTGTGGTTTTAGAAACTCCTACAAAGAATACACTGGCTACACAACACTTAAAAGGAGGATAAATTCAGGGTTATATCTATTAATATTTTTACCTCACAAGAATAACACCTAGTACTTTATTTAGCTAAAGGGTTCACATACATTGATATCTTTCTAATTCGTAACTTTCTATCACTAATCCCAAAATACTGAAATTAAATTACAGTCATAAAAAATATGCCTTGTGGCTTTCAGTGCCACTTATTTTATGATATTAGACCATGTGAATATAAATCAAACACAAATTTATGCTTTATTGCATCTGATAGCTCAAAGGAACTGACATTCATAGGGAACAAACCCTACATCAGCATCCAAGTTTATTGCTTTGTCAAGCACATTTTCCCCCTCCATAATAATCGTTCTATTGCAGACTGGAATTAGATGATCTTTAAGGTCCCTTCCAACCCAAACCATTCTTTGATTCAGACTCACATTTTTATAAATCACACAAATAGACAGCACTACACATAGTCTAGCACTTTAATTTTAAAAACTATTTGATTCAGAGGATTAGGTCCATACACATCTAATAGTATATTAAAGTCAGAACCTTTTATCAAAGCAGAATGAATTATAAAGTTTTTGCAAACTTGGGGTAAGAGGTAGCTGAGCCTTAGGGTTTCTGTTCAGCCTTGGCTGAACATTTGACACGTGCTTTCATTCTTGGGAAGCAAACTGCATAAACAAGGCTTTTAAAGAGAAATAAATTGTTGTATTGGCAGTAGAAATGAATTGTTTGAATATGTCCTTCCTTCCCATTTTCCTTTCACTGTTTTGATTTAACAGCTTTTCTCTGTTCCCTTTCTCTGTTATGAAATATGTCACATGATGGTTCAATAGAAAAACAGCATTACTGCTTATTTGCTTGAGCAATCCTGCTCAGTCATGTACCAGCTTTTGTCTGCGAAGCCCCTCTGGTATCTTTCCTCCTATAATGGTATTTCAAGGTGGAACTGCTGCTTCCCTGGCAGCAGCACTAAGTAGTTTCTGAGGAGCACTTGGGCTATCATCAGCTAAATAGATTGTGAAGAAGGGAGAACATTAAATGTGTAAGTAGAGAGAATCTGAGAGCAAGAGAGAAAGACTGATCAAGAAGACAAGATTTGGATATCTCTGCAGCCATAAAATTTAGTTGGATTATAAAGGTAATATCTATGAAGTGGTGAGGTGCAAAGAGCCACAAAAGGAAAATGAATACTGTATTGTTTGTGAAAAGAATGAATTAATCAGCAAACCTTATAAATGAATGTAATGATGCTCCATCACACAAAACATCTGCAGCACCACATTTTCTTTAGGTCCCCCCTCTTGTCTTAGAATTAATTCACTAATAAACTGTAGGCTGAAAAGGCAAAACTAGTTTTAACATAACAGATATTGCTGATAACATAACAGATATTGCCTTCTGCTGATTTTCTGGAACCACTGGTGATATAAGAAGCCTCCAGCAATTAACCTTCTTTAGCTAACCTCAGGCATTTTTATCTTTATTCTAAAGCAGAATAGGATCCTGTTTTAAGCAATACAACAGTGAGCAAAAGTACTGTTACCTTTACTAACTATAGTACCTTTAGGTACTATAGTTAGACTATCAGCTAAACTCCATTGATTAATTAGCTCACTAACATCATTACAATGAGGCAAAGCCAGGGTGATTTGCTCTATTTATAGCAACAATCAGATAAGAAAGTTCAGCAGTTGGTTAAATCATGCCATCATCATTATTAATATTCACCAGTGTAGAACATTTGAAGTGAAAAGGTCTTATTTTAGTTTTCCAACTTGGTGCAATTCATGTAAAAAAAAAAAAAAATCAGTGCAAGCACACTATTCCTCCGTGCTTTTCTTGGGCTTCTTTCTTACAGCTAAGCACTAAGAAGAGTTCACAAAAACATTTATTTTGATTAGGAAAATGAGCGTGTTCCATCTGCAATATTCACTTCTTCATGAAGTCTACAGATATCTAAAAACAAACACATTTAATGATGAGGGCACAGATCCAACCTTGACAGAGCAAATTACAATACACCTTTCCTAAATAGGTCTCTGAACTGTATACAGAAGCCGGAAGAGGGATAACTATTTAACCTTTTTCATAAGACATGCCCAATTATAATTTCAGTCAGCAACTTTAAATAAGCAAAAAAGAAAAAGCTCTTCTTCACTTCATGTTTATGTAAACACTGAAACTCATTGCAGAAGCCAAGGCAAAGTTGCTTCAAGTCCATCAGAAGCTGTTACATGAAGTAGTTTGGATGTAACATTGCACTTGAGAGCTCTGAAACCAAAA